AAAGTTTCAATTTAAATTCATGAAGTTGATGTGTGTGCTGAAGTTAGGTAAGAGCATATGTCCACTCTTAGGAAAGGCGCACTCGAGTGTTGAGGAATGAATGACCATGATGTATGGAATTTATTCTCAAATGGTTCAGAAAAAAAATTGTCTATGCACATACACATAAAGAGCAAGAGAACAAATGATGAAGTAAATGGGGTGAAACTTAACAATAAGTGAACCTGGGAAAAGGGGTGTTCCTTGTGTTATTTTTAGTTTTGCAAATTTTTATAAGTTTGAAGTTAGTTTCAAATAAAAATCTAAAAAAATAGTCTATCCAAACTGCCACTTAGTCCTAAACTTCAGACTAGGTCCCTGATGTATGGTCACTCAGGCTTTGGGCATCTATCTAGTCTAGAGGTGTGAGGACCTCTAAGGCAGGGGTTACTCAGTATCTTATGAGGCAGCCTGTTTAACCACTTCAGTACAGCGCTCACCGGCCGCAAAACCTTGCCCACAGCCGGCACTCACAGTCCGCACGGTAGCTTGTGCTGTGCATGGACGACGGATCCGTTTTGCTCTTGTGTGATGAGGAAAGCTTTAAAGCACTGAAAGCTTGTTTTACTTTACAGGCAGCTTCACTTGTAATGTAAATCAGAATAGGTAACATATACATATATGTTTTCATTACATTATTTTTAAATGTTCACAATTTTATTTTGATAAATGAAAAATTAATAAAGTCATATCACAGCTGTCGGCTAAAGTCGACGCTCAGCTGTGCGCCTTCATCTGTGGCTGTCAACTATAGTTGATGCTGGTTCTGAAGTGGTTAATTGCTGGTTAGTGTTAGAAGTTTGAAAGTTCCCTGTGGGTTAAGAAAAATGAAATCGGCTGGGCGCGATGGCTCACACTTGTAATCTTAGTACTCTGGCAGGCCGAGGCAGGTGGATTGTTTGAACTCAGGAGTTCAAGACCAGCCTGAGCAAGAGTGAGACCTCGTCTCTATTGAAAAAAAAAATAGAAATTAGCTGGACAACTAAAAATATATACAGAAAAAATTAGCCAGGCATAGTGGCACATGCCTGTAGTCCCAGCTACTTGGGAGGCTGAGGCAGGAGGATTGTGTGAGCCCAGGAGTGTGAGGTTGCTGTGAACTAGGCTGATGCCATGGCACTCTAGCCTGGGCAACAAAATGAGACTGTCTCAAAAAAAAGAAAGAAAGAAAAATGAAATCAATTGGTTGGTGACTTTCACCCATTGGTCGTATCCCTGGCTTCTGGGGAAATACAGAATGAGTTTTCTCTCTCTTTAAATATTTGAGACCAGCTGTCATATCTTCTTAATTTATTTTACATGCTAAAAGTTTCTCGTCAGTGGATGCTTATGAGTCAGTTCGTAAGCCTCCTCACCAGCATGCATTTTCACTTGTCAGTGTTGCTCTTAAAATGCAGTGAAAAAAAAAGAGAGATCTTGTTTTCAGTGGAGAGGAACTCTGAAATGTGGCAATGCTCTGGTATCACCAAGCTATGCTCATCTGCAGTTGCTGACTAAGGGGTAAATGGGACTTGAGGTCTCCATCATGGAAGTGATGAACAGTGACAAAAAATTAGCACTGCTTTGGGTTAGACTCTCTATCCTCTAGGTTCTAGGTAAACTTGTGATATTCTAGTTAAAATGAGAGCAACTGAGGTAATCTGTTTTTAAATGGAAAACGTTATCACTATTAAATAGACGCTCAA